AGAAACGTAATTCTCAGGACGCCTTTCTTCTCCTCAGTGCAAAAGTAAGTCAAATTACCCAAATATTTGGTAACCTTTTATGGTACCTACAATGCACCAATACCTCCTTCTGACCCTTTCTCTCCAAGAGGAATCTAGTGGAATGCAATTTCCCTTCTTAATATTGGAGGTTACTTACTTTATTAAAAGAGTAAAGAGTTGTGGTTTAAAAATGGAATAGAAGCTATGCTAGAGACACAAAAGGCATTTGGCTTCTATTTTTCTTATAAATAAAAGGATAAATTGTGCTAACTCAAAAGAATAAACACATTTATCATCCAGGTTTTCTAATAGGGAATTGGTTAAATAAAATGTTTTATTTACAGAAACTGAAAGGCCATTCCTTGACATTTTCAGATACTTCTAGCTAAATTAACATAGGTTCAGTGACTTCGTTATCAAGCCACAAAATCTTAATTTTTTTTTTAATTCACCAGGGAGTTCAAGATATTAATGTTGCCTACCATATGGACAAAAAACCTGCTTACCTTCTCTCTTGGGTAATAATTAAACTGATTAGGAATTCTGATATTAAGGAGGGCACAGGTTGTGATGAGCACTGGGTGTTATACGCAACTAATGAATCATTGAACACTACATCAAAAACTAATGATGTACTATATGCTGGCTAACTGAACATAATAATAAAATAATGTAATATAAGAAAAAGAAATTCTGATAAATTAACCTAAGGATATTTAACCCTGTTCCACTCATCTAATCCTCACAGAAAATGATTTCCTTCCCTTCATTGGTTTTATACCTTAAAAGAAACTTACCAAATTGCAGATATACAACTAATACCTGCAGACAGAAATGAAGGTCATTTTTAGGTGAAACCGGTCCCAAATGAAAACACAGCCTTATGGTCAGATACATATTACACAGTCTTTACCCATAGTGAGAAGGTAGGTCATTCCTCATTTCTTATTTATTCCCTGGCATAATCAGACCACACCATGAAATCATGTGAGATGCTTCAGAGCTCCTATCAGGACATGAAACCCAAGACAACGAGCAGTACAATAACCATTGTCAACAGGCAAACTCCAACAAAGTCTGGATTTGGATTTGGTTTTATGTTAAGGGAAGAAGATTTGCTCTGGTTTTTAATAATTCATAAGAAACAGAAATCACAATGTATTGAGTCAGCATCCACCTACAAAGAGTCCAAAAAAGCCAAAGGTCTCCCCCACTCACCCTCTTGTTCCACCGACATTTTGAAAATAAAGGGAGAAAACAGAAATGAAAAAGAGAGTGCGAAGGAACACAGATATGATTTAAATAATTTCAAATCCTTATTAAACATCACTGAGATTGCATTTGATCCATCAGACTGACTTTCAGTTCTCACCACTAAGACCTTGCAAAGAAACTGGACATGCATGGTTTTGCCTTCCAGGGTTGACCTAGAACTATAAGGGTGAGGTGTATATGAATGTGGGTGTGCTTTAAGTCCATTTTATAAACACTGACACAGGACAATTCTTATCATTGGTAATAGTCTTTTGAGTCCAATCATGCAGAATAACAGGCATGTGCAAGTTAGGTCTTGTTGCAAGATAAACATGGCAAGGTGAACAGTTTAATGCTAGACAAGGGTTGGGAGATTTGTTTTCATTAGAATATACTGGCCATTGGTCCCACATAATCAAAAGTTAGATATACAGGAGTCCACATACAAACAGAGGCCTTCCATTTCAGCTTGACTGACCAAGGAAATGGGTCAGAGTGAACCATTTCAGACAAAGAAAGAACTGTCTAAGTTCTGCCAAAACAAATAACAAAATCTTATATTTTAGTCACATGGAAAATGACTAATATAATTATTTACATTGTAACTTGTTTGTTGTTTTTACAGAAAGGAGTATCCCTGCTTGGTTTAATTTCATCTGTAGAAAATGTAGGACTCACATTTAAAATGTTGGGGGGGAGCTTGGGGTGGGGCGTGGAGTCCCTCTTAGGACCCAAAGTGATCGGGATCAAAGATTGCTGGGACAGCATTATTCCTTTCTCTGAGCTATACAAGATCAATTTTTCAGCAAAGCTGGCTGACAACATTCTTTACAGAGCATAACGTTTTTAAGATTTCGATTGTCATACGTTAAGAGAATTAAATAGAAGTAGACTTTGTAGAATTTAGATTTTGCAATGACTATTTAAAATTTAAAAGTCAGTCTTGCTCATTTTCCCCCTGGCAGGTCATAAAAGAACTGATGGATTCTCATCTCATCTTTTCCATTTATTCCCTTTGTCAGGGCCTATTTTATGATTTACCAGTCAGCTGCTATCAGTATCCTTAAGTAATATTTTCTGATCATGGTAGCAGATTGAACAAAAACTATTGCCTCGGTCTTCAGTTAAACAGCTTACTCCACTTGGAGGGAATTGGCCAGGACCGGGTCCACCTCAAGTATACATTCCTACAAAGCTCAGTCATCAGATTCTTGAAGATGTGCAAAATTGTTAGCGGTTCTTATTCCACAAGAAGAAATTTGGTTGTAAGGCCAATGTATCTCTTTTTAAAAATGAACACACTGACCGAAAAACAAATCAATATGTCAAAGTGGTGGTGGTTTTGTCAAGCTCTCCCAACAATTTAATTCCTCCTGCATGTGGGCACAGAGCCATCTCTCCTACAAAATACTACAGAACATTTCATTAAGGATCACTGAGAAACCATCACGCTATAGAAGTGAGCAAAGTTTAGGCCTCTCAGACTGCCAACCTCACATTCCTAAACGAATCCCAACCACAGGCAGGACCTTCCTTCTTCCAGGAATATAGTTCCAGGTGACTTGACACTTCCAAGTCTGAAAAGCAAGAAAGTCCTTTGGAATTAACAGGTGACTATATAGGAAATAGTTGTCTTTTCAAGAAAAGACTCACTGCAGAACCTAATACATTCTGAGAATTTGATAATAACAGAATCACTTCCTGAAGATATTATAATAAAGTGGACCCAAGATGGTGAAGGGCTGGTGAGCTTTTGAAATGATGATCCTCTTTGTTGTCTTATTACCTACTGGCTTTGATAACCTAGTAAAATTCACCCCATAAGCGGGCAAGAAGCCAAACTCTTTGCTTTATTTGTACATGAGATTTCAATCCGAGGGATTTCTTCCATTTTTTCTTGTCCATAAGGGGGATCTGGCTAAAGGTAACCAGCTCCCCAGAGCCATACAACAGGAGAGATCAGACTAGCAGAGTTTGGGGAAGGTAGCAATAGTAGGGGAGCATTGCCTGGTTCTTGCTTGGTTTAATCTGAGTGAAAAGAAATCACCGCTTCTACACACATGGAAGACAGTCTAAGTGTCAAGCACTTCTAAGATGCGGGCTGAAGACTTCCTTCTGGCTTTTGCTGTCATTTTCTGGCTGATGAAATTACCCTTGCGACCTACTTTCTTTCAAACAGCTACCTATTCCCTGCACTTAAGCACATGTGCAAGAAAGTCAGGCATAGAAAGGACACAGGTACAGCAAGAGAAAAATACAGATAAGGAGGGCAGAGAAGTTTTTTTTAAAAGTGGGGGGCGGGAAGTGTGACAGAAAGAGAAGTGAGAGAGCCCATGTGAATGCGGAGGTATTTTAAAAATCAGGTCGTCTGCGATAGTAACCCAAAAAATGGCAGCAAGAGAAAGAAGCTGGGCCACTTCATTCCGGGGGACAAGCTGCACAGGCTACTGTGTTGTTTTCTCCCCATTTTAAACAAATGACCTCTGTGAAGCAGTCTCATAAATGGCAGCATTGCTCACATGGTGATGGTGGGGGTTGGCTCTATTGCGTGAAAGAGACAAAGCTTCCCTATTGTTGTATTTAAGGCAGTTGTCAGAGCACGGCATTCTTGTTTGCTCTATTTTTGAAGGGATTCCATTTGCCAGTCATATCCCACTCATCAACCATCCGTTTCATGCGTTTCACTTCTTCTTCAGGTGAAGTACCACCATGTTGGCGAGCACCAAAATGGTCAGAGTGCAAATAGCTGTGATGGGCACTTCACCAAAGTGAATAAGAAGGGAAGCCTCCACCTGGTCCCTGTTATTGCTGAGAAGTCACCCTGGGAGTGCCTTGTATATAACCAAGATGTTTCACAGTGCCTTCTTAAGTGCTCTAGAGAGCACTTTCATTTGATTTGAGCTAAATTCAGGTGATTTTGCTAAACATTGACACAAAATGCTTCATGGCTTTTAAGACAAACTCATATTGCTAAAGCTATTAGGCAGCAGTAACTTATGGGGAGAGTTATTGCTGTCACATCAACTGCAGTACAAAACTCAGATTATCAGCCCTTCTTGAATTGTTTGAATTTATGAAAATAAATAAACATGAAACATCAGCCATAGTAAGGAGTCAGGGAAACCCCTGAGGAATAGTTATGTCTGCGGAAATGTTTTCCAATGCTGACCTGAGGATCACCCCGTGTTTTGGGTTTGTTTGTTTTTAAGAAATTAATAGATATATTTTTTTTATTCCAGAAGAGGAAAGTAATTATTTCTTAAAACCGTGCAGGGTATAAACCTGGGAAGTAGCACACTTATGGAAAACACAACCCACAATCTGCAAATAGTCTATGTAGGTTCATTTCCTGTTAAAGACATCATCCGGAGGCAATTCCACTCTGTTCCAGGGAGGGATTTTTACCGTCAGATTTGGACGTGGGAACCCTGCCTCACCACCTGCCACGCCCTTTCCAGTTGTGACACATAATTTGTAAATGACAAATGGGGTCTACTCTCTAAAATATGGATGTCAGTGTCTCCTAGTATCTGGGTAATAATCTCCTTGGGGTCTTCCTCTGCACTGCAATGCTACACTCAAGTCTCTCCTACCTGCTCGCTGTCAAAGAAAAGACCATCAGCTTTTTCTCCCATCTTCCTTCTAAAGGCCAAACCATTCAGTACCTGGAAACTGTCACCCTCTCCCGCCCCCACGCTGTACATAAGCATCACATATGTTCTTTCTACAAATCGGTATACAGGTGCCATTTAATCAGTTCAAATTTGGAAGCTACATCTTCAAGGGTCCGAGAGAGCTCACTCCCCCCATATTTTCCCCCTTTACATGTTTTCTTTTAAGACATACAGCTTAATCAATTAACAAACTAAATAGCTTATATACTGGCAATATATTACAGATGGGTTTATGTCAGAGTAATAGATCACATGAAATGGACCATGTGGTACCCCAGTGCATGATGTCTTGGTAGAGCCCTGAGGACACTGACAGTAGCATCTCTAAGTAAGTAGTGCTGTATGAATACAGACACATGCGGATCTGTATCTACATCCATCTGACTAGGCCAAAAGGAGCAGGTAGATGCAAGATAGAGACACACATGCTGGATGGGGCCACTGCACACCTTGTCATGCCATTTGAAAGGGCAGTTACAGGTTGCTGGTTTTACAGCCATTAAAATTACACTTTATGGAAAAGGCTTTTCTAATTGTGTTTGAGTTGCTTTCTGTAGTAAGCATCGTTGGAGGAAGACCAAAGCAAGAGCAACTAGAAGTTAAATATACATTTAGCTTAGCTGCAATACAGAACTCTGGAGAAGAAGCAGGCTGAAAGATTGGTTTCAATTTTAGGCTCGGATTCTCTCCCTTGCCATTTTCTTAGAGTTGCGTGTCTGTGTATGTGTGTGTGCGTGCGTGTCTGTCTGCGTGTGTGTGTGTGTGTGTGTGTGTGTGTGTGTGTTCCATCACATCATCTCCTGAAGAACGCTGGGTTTCGCAGGCAGGCGGCTAGTCACCTGCAACAACCCAGGGGTCCTGCTGAGGTTTCCAGGCTGCTGTCAGTGTCAGATGCCAGGGTCTGGTCGGTGGACATGGAGGAGATGTCATTGACAGACGAAGATGGAGGGAGACTCTCACTGCTGTTCACTGCTGCACCTGTGCTAAGAAAATGAAGACCAACATGACTAAATCTGGAACTCGACTCAACTTCATGTCGCTCAGGATGCAGGCATGGGCAAATACAGGAGGCGATGTTTAGTCCATCATTCATTCAACAAGCCTTCTTAGAACGACTGCTCCAGGGCACTATGTTAGATGGTGAAAATCGAAACATAAAAATGCAGAGTCCCTAGTCACAAGTTATTCTACCTTGGAAACGACCTGTAATGCTCTTAAGAGAAAACAAAAACAAACAAACAAAAATACGCCACTAAAAACCCCAGTCACCCTTCCCACCTCCAATATTGTCATATAATTGGCCTGTGGGAGGCCAAGGCATTTGCATTTTTTAAAAGCTCGTAGACACTGTGTAGTCAAAGGTTGAAGAGCACAGTCCTATTGAGTAGGAAGATGAGCAAGACCTTTTAATGTAATGATCTGAACCTGGATGTTTTTAATGCAGGGCTTTTTAAAACAAACACATGTAAGGGTCCTATTCCAAAAGTAAGGGCTGAGCAGAAATCAGAATTACTTGGAGACTACAGCTCTTGAAAAATGAATGCAAGTTAAGTAAATATTATTATAGTCATTAATGTGATATCAAACTTAAAATCCATACAGAAAAGCTAAGTAGGACTTTCAGTGAAAGTTACCATAGACCAAATACCAAATAATAATAATAATAATAATAATAGAAGAAGCCAAAGCACTTGTTTTTTTAAAGTAGGCTCCACGCTAGAGCACACTTTTTTTTTTTTTTTAAGATTTTACTTATTTGACAGAGAGATAGAGAGCACAAATAGGCAGAGAGGCAGGCAGAGGGAGAGGGAGAAGCAGGCTCTCTGCTGCGCAAGGAGCCCGATGCGGGGCTCCATCCCAGGACCCTGGGATCATGACCTGAGCTGAAGGCAGCCGTTTAACCGACTGAGCCACCCAGGCGCCCCTAGAGCACACTTTTTGATTGTGTGTTTACTTTCTAGCAGGCTTGCTTACCTGCCAAACTACAAACAAAAATTCTGAATTATTAAATTAATTTGAAAAAAATATTTATCTGCTCTGTGGGAATATAAAGATTTTGAATCTCTGAGAGGAAACTTGCTTATGGTAATCACTCATTAACACTTGCTGAGTTACAATATCTTTGAGAACTACAAAGGACAGATAAGTCAGAGGCACTGCAAAATATAATTAACCATAACAGCCTGGAACCAGTTTACTTTTTCTCTTTATATATTCTTTATATTTAAGCAATGTAGGTGGTAAAATGCATGCTTTGTGAAATAGTTTGCTATTAAAAAATATTTGTAGTGTAAATCATCTAATAAAATCAGAGATGAAGAATTTTCACTAAAATGTTATCTCATTTGAGCAAATATAGTGTGCAAGGTACATCTGGTGAAAAATAACAAATCCAAAATAAGTTACAGTAGTGTTATCACAAAGATCTAATAAATCAGAAAAAAATCTATAAAGAACTTATATGACTCAACACCCAAAAAAACAAACAATCTGATTAAAAATATGGGCAGAGGACCTGAATAGATATTTTTCCAAAGAAGACATAGAGGGCCAACAGACCCATGAAAAGATGCTCCACATCACACATCATCAGGGAAATGCAAATCAAAACCACAAAGACATATCACCGGACACTTGTCAGATTGGCCAGCATAAATAAAAAAAAAGAAAGAAAGAAAGAAAGAACAATTGTTGATGAGAATGTGGAGGAAAATGAACCCTCACATACTGTTGATGGGAATGTACATTGGTACAGCCACTGTGGAAAACAGTATGGAGTTTTCTCAAAAAATTAAAAATAGAAATACCATATAATCCAATGATTCCATTACTGGGTATTTACCCAAAGGAAACAACACTAATTTGAAAAGATATATGCGCCCCTATGTTTATTACAATATTATTTACAGTAGTCAAGATATGAAAGCAACCTATGCATCCATTGATAGACAAATGGATAAGGAAGATGTGGTATTTTTATATATATATATGTAAATATGGTATGGTATGGAAGTATGAGGTATTTATATAAATTATATATAGCATATATAATATATAGTAGGCACATATATTTTATATATATATAAATATGGTATGGTATGGAAGATATGGTATTTATATATATAAAATATATAAAATGGAATATTACACAGCCATTAAAAAGGATGAGATTGTGCCATTTGCAATAATATGGATGGACTTAGACGGTATTATGCTAAGTGAAATAAGGCAGACTGAGAAAGAAAAATACCATATGATTTCACTCATATGTGGAATTGAAAAAAAAAAACAAGAACATAAACAAATAAAAAGCAAAATCAGACCTATAAACACAGAGAACAAACTGATGCTTGCCAGAGGGCAGAAGAGTGGGAGGATGAGCAAAATGAGTAAAGGAGAGCGGGAGATACAGGCTTCTAGTTATGAAATGAGTAAGTCACAAGAATAAAAGGCACAGCATAGGGAATATACTCAATAATACCGTAATAATGTAAGGTGACATAAGGGCAACAACACTGTGGTGAACACAGCGTAAAGTACAGAGAAGTGGACTCACTATATTGTACACCTGAAATTAATGTAACATTGTGTGTCAACTCTACTCAAGTTTAAAGAAAAAAATTAAAGATCTATGAAGTGGAAAGGTTAAAATAATCTCTTTGCTCGTGGGGTAGACATCTCTTCTCTATGGAAAAAACGTGATTAAAATGTGACAATATGTGGAGAGGACCCATACATACAAGCTAAGAAAGATCATATGTGTTTCATAAGTATTTTAAAATTTTATTTGTTGATTATAAACATATTTATGTGAATTATGGGGAACGTGAAAGAATACCGAAAAAAAAGATAATAGGCACTGATCCTCAAATAAATAATAACTGGTAAACTTTGGGTATATTTCTCACTAGTGTTTTTGCTATGAAGTTTTTCTAATTGTGATCATTGAATATATATGCTTTTGTATACTGTTATTTTTATATGCAAAAAAAGCTTATGCATTTTTCATGTTCTTTAAACACTTAAAAGTATGAATATCTCCTAATCTTAAATGTCTCTAGACTTTTAAAGCTTTTTGTTATCGTCTTCCTGTAAATAGTCTCATTATCAGAATAATGTGTAACGTAAAGTTCCCTAGCTTCAATTTATTCCAACTTTACTTAATTGTACGTATGTACAATGTAGGTGTGCAGAGCTAGTTCCTTTCTTCTCCTGACATATACTAGTAAATTTCATATACTAGCAGACAACCTTTGACTTCCTTACATAGCCCAAGTGCCCAGCTCTGTCCTCCCCACCACAATTTGGATTAAATTATACCAATACCAACAACCTTATGTGTTTTCATAAATTTTGGTCAATAATAATTTAGCATCACTGTGATTGACTGCTCAGAATCTTCAATTTTCCACATCCTTATTAAAGGGTGGAGGTTAAAATTAGACACAGAACTCTAATAAAGCCTCAAACAATTGTGGGCTAACAGAGTGAGATGGCTTTGTTCATATACCCCTTCATCTGTTGAATGACATATCCCTTCTTCTGCATGACTTTAAAACTATGATACCATCATTTAGATTTAGACTTAAAATATGAAATATTGCCTATATACCTTTTTGTAACAGCTTTATTGAGATGTAATTCACAAATTTAATTTGTATAATTCAATCGTTTTTAGGATATTCACGAAGTTGTGCAACCATCATCACAATCAATTTTGTGATATTTTCACCACCCCAACAGTATTCTATTTTTTACTCATTCATCAACCACAGGCAATGACTAACCCACTTTCTGTTCTATGAAGCTGCCTCTTCTGGACATATTATATAAATGGAATCATACGTAATCTTTTGTGACTGGCTCCTTTCACACAGCATAATGTTTTCAGGGTTCATTCATACTGTAGCCTGTAGCAATACTTTATTCCTTTTTAATCCTGAATAATATTCCATTAGATGGGTGTATCACTTTGTTTACCTATTTACTAGTTGATGGCCATTTGATAGACCTTTAGGCTATTCCTATTTTTGGCTATTATGAATAATGTTGTTATGAACTTTCATGTACAAGTTTTTATTTCACTTGGGTAAATACCTAAAGAGTGGAGCTGACAGATCATAGAGTAGCTCTACATTTAACATCTGAGGAGTTAACAAACTGTTTTTCACAGTGGCTACCCGAGCTCACACTCCCACCAGCACCATATGAGGGCCCCAGTTTTCTCCTCTCCTCTCCAGTTCTCATTATTTTTTATTGTAGCTCTCCGAGTGTATGTTAAATGCTATTTCACTGTGGTTTGATTTGTATTTGCCTAATGGCTAATGGTGTTGGGTGTATTTTCATGTGCTTGTTGGCCATATCTTCTTTGGGAAATGTCAATCCAGATCCTGTGGCCATTTTTTAATTGTGTTATTTTCTTTTTATTATTGAATTGTAAGAGTTCTTTATGTATTCAGGATAAAAGTCTCTTATTATATAAGATTTGCAAATGTTTTCCTCCTATCCTATGGACTGTCTTTTCACTTTCTTGATGTTGTCTTTTGAAGCGCATGTATTTTTAATTTTGTTGAAGTTGAATTTACCTATTTTTTCCTTTTGCCACTGGGGTTTTAGTGTCATATCTAAGAAACCATTTCCTAAGCCAAGATTATGAAAATTTACTCCTACGTTTTCCTATGTTTTAAATTTTAGCTTTTACACTTAAGTCTATAATCTATTTTGAATCCATTCTTACGTACTATATGAGGTAGGAGTCCACCTTCATTCTTTTGCATGTGGATATCTAGCTGTCCTAGCACCATTCACTGAAAAGACAATTCTTTGCCCATGGAGTTGTCTTGAAATCCTTGCTACCAATCAATAGACCATAAACATAAGGGTTTATTTCTGGACTCTCAATTTTATTTCATTGATCTATATGTACAAGTGAATACCACACTGTTGTGAGCATTGCAGCTTTGTGGTAAATTTTGAAA